CCACAATTATCTTCTGTGTCTGTGTTAATTGGTTTCCCTTTTCTTTGTTGAAGAGGGTCTGTGCAATCCTTCTGCCTAGTCCGCCATCTTGCCCCGCCAGTGAAATGGCTTTTATTTTGTCTATCCTTTGGAAATAGTATTCTCAGTATTCTCAAGGCTACCCTCAAACCATTGTGATTTGATCTGACTCTGAGACCAGGTAGTCTAAATGCTGGGCAGATAGGTAGTTATTGTGGAAACTCTTCATTCCCTTTTTGTTTTTCTTAGGTGATTAGGACACTGGAGTTTTTTTTTTTTTTTAATTTTGTTTTTTTCTCATTTTACCCATTAGAGCACTAACAGACTTTGCCACCCTTTTCAGCAGGTCTACCATACTGTACCTCTGCACACATCCAGTGCAGCTGCTAGTATTTAACTAAGGTCATTATCTACTTAGTTAATCTTGTGCCGCTATGACAGAGATACCACAAGTGGATGCCTTTAATACACAGAAATTTGTTCTCACAGTTTAAGAGACTGAAAGTCCAAAATCAGGGCATTGACCATAGGGGAAGGTTTTCTCTCTCTGTTGGCTCTGGGAGAAAGTCCTGGTCTCCTTTCAACATCTGTGAACCCAGCATTCCTTGGAGATCTCCATGTATCTTGACTTCAGTCTTCCCTTGGTTCTAGAAGGTTGTCTGAGCTGGGCCTCCAGGTCCATGCTGTGTTCCTGACTCCTCTTCTTTCTTGGTGGTGCTGAGGTCCTTTCTTTTCTGTTGGCTTTTCTCTCCTTTTATCTCTTGTAAGATGCAGACCACTCCTCAGGAAACTCCCCTTACATTCGGTCAGAGCTGTGACCTGAGTAAAGGTGGTTACATGAGTAAAGGATACATCCCACCCTGATCTTGGCTCATTAATATAAAAACCATAATCCTTTTAACATAACCTAATCCTGCCTCATTAACCACAGGCAAAGGTTACAACACATTACAAAATGGAGGAAATTACACAATACTAGGAATTGTGGCCTAGTCAGGTTGACACATATTTTTTGGGGACACAATTCAATCATAATTCAATATGACAGTCAAATTTTACTAACTTCTCATATGAATAAAGCATAAACAGTGTCTCTATGACATACAAGATGATCAGCTTACTCTGTGATGTATATTCTTATTCTAAAAAGATCTGTTGAACTCACCCTCCAATATTTACCTTGTGCCTTGTTGGCTTAAGAAAATGCTTCGTGAAGTCTTTGCTTTAATTGTAATCAATAATCCCAACAAATACTACCCGCCCACACACACACACACACACACTTCAAATTTATATCTCTTCCATACATGTCTGATGCCAAATTTATTTTGTGTTCTTGGTGTGGTTGGCATGTCTTTCTACAATGTAATATACTCCACTATTCAATGTTAAGTACTGTTCATAATTCAAAGGATTTATGAGGGAGAGGAATAAGGCAGAAAACAGATTTCTTCCAAAATGTGTAGAGATTTATGGGAAAGAGTAAAATTTTTTGATTTGATATGAAATGAATCCAGTTTGAATAGTGATAGGCCTATTATATAAACATTAATCTTTGCAAACAATAAAAGCGATACACAAAAATTCTTCCTTTCTCATGTATTTGATGGTCCACAAACATCACAGTATTTGATGGTCCACAAACATGAGGGAACCCTTGAGGATTTCACCAGGGTTCTTCTGCCCAAAGGCAGTTGTGAGTTCAGGTCCATGTAGCCCCTGGTTTCAAATGTACCTGAAGTTCAATGTGCCAGATTTAGATACTTGGTTTCCCCCTGTCCTCTCTGTCCTCAACCTTTAAAAGGCAAAAGGAGCTAGTCTGGGTTGTTCAAAGGATGTTCTTACCATAATTTTCTTCCTTCAAGTATGTACGGTGAATCCGACAATAATATGTTTTCAAAAATACAGAATTCCTGTAAGACCTATTAAAACTCACATTATTCCCAAATCCTTTCTCCCATTTAAGGAAACAGGCCTAGAGAGTCAGTCTACATAATGCCAAATAGGACGTATATGATTACTTTACAAAGAAGGCCAGTAATGAGGCAAGCACCCACTCTAATTTTTAAGCAAAGCTGGGATTAGAACCCAGTACTAAGGTGTTGAAGGCAGACACAGGCATAGTAATGTACAGTGTAACAGTTTCTGCAGACAGATCATCAAAAATCATCATGTCACATCATAGTTTGGAGTGATTCAAGCAGACCTGCTAGCAACTCAGTTTACTGAGTTCTTACTCTGTGTTGAACAAAATAGGAGACAACCTGTGTTATGAGATTCCTTTAGTATATTGATGAGTGTATTTGTCCAGCATATTAGTGTCTAGGCATACACAAGTCCTATTCATCAGTAGAATAGAAGTTCTATAGAGTCATTACTATACTTTAATCTAATATTAAAAGTCACATCAGAACTTTGAGTTTGTTAAGTCAACAAATTTACAAGCCTGTTGCTAGTAGAAAATCAGTTCATATGAGTTAGAGCACCATGTCATCCCTATCTCTTCTTTGTTGCTCTGTTTTTTCTAGAGTTCTTATCACTTTCTAATATATTTTAAAATAGATTTTATATTCCACCTGATCCTTTATCCTCCAAATAAAATGCAAGCTCTACCAGGGCAGGGGTATTTGGCTCTCTCTCTTATTAATTGATTGATTGATTGTCAGTACTAGACACAGAGTAGACATGCAGTAAATATTTTTTGAATGTGTGAATGAATGAAGAATGAATGAATTATTAGTAGTAAATCTGCATACAGAAGCCACCATATCAGTGAATTGCAGTTAGATGCCAGAGACTACTCATAATTCATAGAGGGAGGGTACAAGCTGAAGGTCTAGGAAATTGGTCACTAGAGATACGGTGACCAACTATAGATGTGGTGCTATCATTAGACAGAGACCAGGAATGCAGTTAAGCTGGAACTGACTGCAGTTTCTTAGGAGTTGAAAGAAAATGGAAGTCAGAATTTCATCAGAGATTGCAGTTCAGTACAGGATCAAAAGTGAAATACTTTTGACCCAAGAAAAGTTACAGAGCTTGTTCATTGTCCCCTTACAGGTATTTTCAAGCACACACTCTCGATCTCCAGAGCACTGCTTTCTGATCTGGTTGCAGAGAAGGAACGGCCACTGGTAATGGGACAATTTAATACAGCATCGGGTGTGGGTTTCATCTTGGGCCCCATGGTTGGTGGATTTCTTACTGAACTAGATGGTGGATTTCATGTAACAGCCATCATCTGTTTTTCTGTCTTCATTCTGAATGCTGGTAAGTTGATGTTTAATTATGAGAAGCTTGGTTCGTATACTCATACTTAACAGTGTATTCACTTTTCTCTCTTCTCAGACTCATCTTTCAAAAATGAAAGGCCACATCATCCCCTGCTGCAGACTCCCCATGGCTTCCCATAACACGTTAGCATTTAACCCATGTGCATCTCACAGCCTGTACCTCCCTCCCCATCATATCTGCCCTGTGCCCTGCCCTCTCCCTTCCCTGCCCTGTGCTCCAGCCACACTGACTTCACTACTGACCTCCCATATGCCAGGCTCATTCCCAATACAGAGCATTACACTTGTTCTTTTCTCCACCTGGGCCATTCTTCCCACTTGTCTTTACTGGTTCTCATTTCTCAGCATTCATGGCTCAAATATTTTCTCCTGAGAGAAAATATTTTCTCTGATCATTCTAAGATACCTCTGTTTTCTTCACAGCACTTGTGAAAAAATATTATTAATTCAATTTATTAGTTTCTATCTGCCCTCTTTTGCTTACCTTACCTCCCCAACACACACACACACACACACACACACACAATTAGAAAGTAAACTCCACAAAGGCAAGGATTTTATCAAACTTATTCACTGATTTCTGCCTGCCCAGAAGAGGGCTAGGCATATGGCAGATGTTCAATAATAATTGATACATAAAAGAAAAATTACTAGACTGTGAGCTCCAGTGGCTTAAACTATGTTATATCTACCTGTAGTCTTCTAGTCTAGGACAAGAAAATGGCAGGTCCTTGGTTAAGCAACTTAATGAATAAGAGACTAACTCATGCTGTTCAGTTTTGCTTTTTGTGTGTGGTCTTGAGCAATTACTCTATGCCTCAATTTCCTCATCTATAAAATGGAGATAGCAATTACAACTTTTTGAATTTTTATGTTGAGAGTTCTTTGTTGAACAGTGAATTCCATATTGGGTTAGGATTTTATTCTCAAGAAGAAAAGTTCATGAGTATTAGGGATTGAATTGTGTCCCCCAAGAAAATGTTGAAATCCTAGTAGCCACTGTACCTATGAATGTGACCCTTAGTGGATATAGGGTTTTCTTTTGTTATGTTAATGAGGTCAAACTAGAGTAGGGTGGGGTGGGTGGGTCCTGAGTGGTATCTTCTTATAAAAAGGGGAAAAAGAAAAGTTACACATATACACAGGGAGAGCTGTGATAGCAGAGGCAGATGTAACTATAAATAGCAAAGGAATGCCAAGGATTGAGTCAGCCACCAGGAACTGGGAGAGGGGTTTACAGAAGGAATCCACATGACCAAGACCCTGATTGGAACTTTCAGCCTCCAGAACTGTGGGCAGATAAATTTCTGTTCTTTAAAGCACCTCCTTGTAGTATTTTGCTGTGGCAGCCCTAGGAAATTCCTCACAGGAATACTTTATGATTTTCTGCCAAAAAATGTAACCTGTAACCTCAGGTAGGAGGTGAGAGCTGTAGAGAGTCCACCATGGATTAGTGTAAGTCAAGATAAAATGACTTCAAGCACATGTCTATGTTGTATGGCCAGGCACTTTCATAGGAAGGTACAACAAATGTGATATCATTCCCATTCTGAGGTCAGTGCATGAACAAACACAATGGTCATGAAGTTCTATTTTTGATTCTCCAGTGATAGTGCTGTTTAGTATTTTGCCCTAACCGAACTAAGCTTTTTAATAGATCTGAACCAGCTAGGAGGATGTTGAGCTACAGAATTTCCAGTGACAGTAGCTTACCCTCATAGGAATTTCTTCTTCTCACTTAAGAAAATGGGAGGTGAGTCCCGGACTGACACAGTTCTAGGCAGTGCCATCCTGGATACAGGTTCTTGCTGTTTTCTGCTCTGACATCCTTAGTGAATTAGTTTTCATTCTGTGCTTGTTAGTTTACAAGCACAAGATGCTCCTGTACCTCCAGGCAGTGTGTCCATTACAGGCAAATGGACACCAGGGAGTTGTCAATTGATTTGTCCCATTTTATAAGCAAGAATTTTCCTAGGAGCTCCCCCCAGCAGACTTTTACTTGCTACTCATTTTTCAGTCACTGGCCAAGTGGAATGAAAGCAGCGTTACCCAGTACCAAAGCCACCAGCCACGTGTGGCTATAGAGTATGTGAAATGTGGCTAGAGCAACAGAGGAACCACGATTTTAATCTTACTCAATTTCATTTAGTTTCAATTCAAATTTCAAGTGCTCAATAGCCACATGTGGTTTCTTTTTTTCACTAGTTGCCACAGAATCAACTCTGACTCATAGTGATCTCACATGGTTCAGAGTCAAACTGTTCTCCGTAGAGTTTTTATGGCTGTCACCTTTCAGAAACAGATCACCAGGTCTTTCTTCTGAGGCACTTCTGAGTAGTTTTGAACTGCCAGCCTTTCTTTTAATAGCCCAGTGCTTATCCACTTCTGCCACCCAGGGATTCCTGCACATGAGGATTGTTGTAGTTATTTGCCGTCGAGTCGTCCCCGACTTATAGCGACCCCTCCTTGGGTTTCCGAGGCAGCATCACTACGGAAGTAGGATTGCCCAACCTTCCTTCCGAGGAGTGGCTGGTGGGTTTGAACCGCCAGCCTTCTGGTTAG